GTACCGTACTAAATTTGACCATGCTGGCCTCTCACAACTGACTCGAACCCCTGGGTCCCCTTCCGGGACCCTCCAATGTATGTAACTGATATAATCCCCTCTTCCCTGTCCTCTGCATCAATCCCTGCTCTCAAGCTCTAGAAATCATATCAATTAGGGTCTCGCACCCTGGCACACTCACCAGCTCAACCGTCAACAGTTGAACTGCAATAGTTGGAGCAACCTCTGCTCTATGCCGGACTACTAACCATCCCCAGGACATAGCCTCCAATCCCAAAAGTGCAATAGAACGTACAATCAATTGCAATAGTTGTTTCATCTATGGTTAACACAAAGTACATTACCATTAGCATAAAACATAATACATTATGATTAACACAAACCACATTAGATAACATTTCCATTAACCATGATCCCATGTTAAAATTGTATCTTTAATTAAAACTAAATACTTCGTTTAACTTTGTTATTAGAAAATTTGCATTCATCATCTCCAATCCTATTATTTAAAAAAAAAAACTAATTGAAATAACTTTTTGATTAATTAAAAGTTCAAAACCAATAGATGTTCCCAATCGTTTCACAATTTATCATGCTACTCGCTCTTTTTCTTCCTTTCTTTTAAGATACTGCGATAAAAGGGGGAAAAAGTAAAAACTAAAGGAAAGAGGAAAAAAAAAATCAGAAAGCAGAGAGAGAGAGAGAGTGGTCATTGAGAACTGTGAAGATGTTGTGAAGTTGCCAGTGGCGAACAGAGCAATCGAAACTCAACTGGATTTGGGGTATGAACACTAATATTACCAGAGGAAGATCCATTCAAAATCTAACCTCCATAGCCATTACAGTTTCGCTGATCGGCCACAACACTCAACTCCGATCTCCTTTTCTCTTATGAGACAAATGAGTTCTTCACTTCTTTATCTGATTTTCTCAACTCTCGTTTCCATTTACGTGCTCCAGTTTCAAGCTCAAGCTGCTCCTGCAGGTATGCTATCTTCCTCTCCCTCTTTAACACATTCGATTGTCTATGATTCAGTTTCTGTGCTCCATGTATTCATGATTCCGTCGTTTTTAATCAGCTCCGGTGATTAAGCAATTATCTTCCATACTCAAATGGACAGCTAGGTCTTCTTCCAAATCACCATTATCAGGTATATTTTATTTCTAGGTTTCGTTACTTTCGTTATTTTATTGTTTATCTTCTCATTCCATAAATACATACTACTAGATTTAAGTCAATAACCCTAGATTTTATGAATATTCAATTGATTTCGATTGATTTATATGTAGATAATGTGGATTGCCTTTTATACTTTTTTAATTTCGTGATACACAGATGGGAATATTCTTCAATTTGAGGATGGATATTTAGTAGAAACTGTCGTAGAAGGGAATCAGCTAGGGGTTGTGCCCTATTCCATCAGAGTCTCGCAAGATGGTGAACTGTTCGCTGTTGATGCAGTCAACAGCAACATCGTTCGAATCACTCCTCCATTATCTCAATGTCAGCTTTCTCATTATTTCTCACCTTCTCCTAAATCCAACATTCTTCTACTAATTACACAATTCTTATGAAACACAGATAGTAGGGCAAGATTGATTGCCGGATCCTTCCAGGGTTACACAGGACACGTAGATGGAAAACCAAACGATGCTCGTTTTGATCATCCAAAAGGTGTTACAATGGACGATAAAGGGAATGTTTATGTCGCTGATACATCTAATCTTGCCATTAGAAAGATCGGTGAAACAGGTTTGAGATCCATTTCACCTCATAAATCTACTCCACTTCAAAGATTATTGAAAAACGGATTTATTTACAGGTGTGACAACAATTGCTGGAGGAAAATCAAATGTAGCAGGATACAGAGATGGCCCAAGTGAAGATGCACAGTTTTCATCTGATTTTGATGTAATTTACGTGAGACCAACATGTTCATTACTTGTTATTGATCGAGGAAATGCTGCTCTTAGACAAATTTCTCTCAATCAAGAAGATTGTGATTTGCACTCCACCTCTGTCTCATCCACAGGTTTTGAACACTTATCTACATATTTGACCTTGACTTTATTTGACTAAACTAAATCCAAATAAATCTTACATTTTATTCACTTTACAGATATTGTTTTGGTAATTGGTGCTATCGCAATAGGATATGTTGTAAGCATGATTCAACAAGGATATGGTTCATCATATTTCTCAAAAGTGGTAAGACTTTGATGCCTTTTTCCAATTCATGTTCTATATAATATTAGAAAAAGGTAAATCTTTTTAATTTTCTATAACCTAATTCAACATATTGTCAGGAAAAGGTGGAGAGTGATAGTAAGCCACTACAAAGCAAAGAGAAAACCTTAAAAATCACAAAAAATGTGGAAAGTGTGAGGGAAGAACAAGAAGCGGGGTGGCCGTCTTTCAGCCAGCTCATCCTCGATCTTTCCAAATTAGCCCTTGAAGGCTTCACCAATGTCTTTTCTTTCAACCCATTTCAAGTCCCCAAAAAAGGGCTCACCCCATTAAAAGATTCCTTAATCATGCCCGAAGATGAGCCCGGCCCATTACTCCAAAAGCACAGAACTTCAGGCCCGGTTTCCGAAACCCGTCAGGCCCATAATCCAAATGAGAAATACCCAGAAACAAAGCCCGTTAAGGTTAGATCATCGAAAGATCCTTTAAAGCATCGGGCTTCAAAGAGGGAAGAATACGCGGAGTTTTATGGGTCGAGTGGTGGTGGTGTGGGCCCACATGTTCGTTCAAAAAGTCAAAAGGAAAGGACGAAACATCGGGTTAGAGATAAGGATAAAGATAAAGATAAAGATAAAGCTGTGTACGGGGAACAGAAGAGTACGGTTGACTTGAAGCAGCAACCGGTCAACTTTGAGGAGGGGAAGTTTAGTTATATGAGGAATAAGTATGGTGATTCGTATCGTTATACTTAGAAAAAGTTTTGTGGAATTGTAGTGTTGTAGACTATTATAATATACAACTTGTTTTATGGCTTAAGATATATTGTTGTTCATTTCTAAGTTGTTTTACTTTGTATAGTGGAATGATGTAGCTTTTGACCTTTTAGGCAAAATTATGTTTCACAAAAACTTTTTTTTTTTTTTTGCAAAATGTTGAAAATTTGACAGCTTAATGGTAACCGAGTCACATTTTTTAAAGCACATAAAACAAGGTAGTTTAAGAGCACTTTTTATTTGAGGAGGGGCATAGAAGAAAGATGTGATGTTTCATAGCACATAACGTTAGATTTGATGAGTTGTTTCTTGGATTTGATGTCTGATATAGCACATTATCAGTTAGGTAAGTTTGGTGATGAGAAAGTTATGTTTAGCAAATTATCATTTCAAATATCCTAAACTTGGCGATTTTGTCTGGCTATAGCCTATATGACGACTATGATGCGAAAAACTTTATAGATCTTGTTCATTTTATGTTACCATAAATGGTAACATTATGCGTTGGTAAATGAATATAGAGAATAAAAAATCAATTACAATTAAATTGAATGATGATTTGTCATAATTTTAATGAATAAGAATAATTGTAGGCATAAAAGGTAGGAGGTAATTTAATTTCTCAAAAATCAATGTCTATAGAGGTAGAAATTATTCCTAGGGCGTGTCTCACTACTAATGTAAGTTGATGTTATCGCATCAAAAGTATTAGTATGCTATGAGCCATTTATAGCATGTCAAACCCGAAAAAATTTCAAAAGTAACATAGATTTGAAGCTAGCATTAAGAATGGAAAAATGTGTTGAAGAGGGTTTTTGAAATTTGTATTAAAATAAAAAAGTTGAAAGATAGGTTCGAGGAGTTCTACAAATTACACATTTAGTCACTTTGTTATTTTTGTATACTTTGATGAGTTCTACAAATTAGTTTAATGGTAAATTATGCATAAAAATATAAGTTTGATGAATGTGAGTTTAATGGTATTTTTTGAACAGGTAAACCAACTTACCGATTAAATTGATACTTCTTGAAGAACAATAACAAGTTTAACGATAAATCATATAAGAAAACAAATATGTAAATTGATATTATATTTATTCTTTGTAGGTGTGTTAGTCATAGAAGATGACCAGAAAAGACATAATTGATTAAACGTGTACAAAATTTAGTTTAATGGTAAATTATATAAAAAATGAGTTTGAAAAATACAAGTTCAATGGTCTTTCTTGAGCATATAAACCAACTTGCCTATTAAAATGGTATTTCTTGAACAACAAATGTAAGTTTAATGATAAATCATATACAAAAGTAAAATAAAATAAAAAGTAAATATGTACAAAAATAATACTTCATTGTCTTATAAAACATATTGTTTCACCGTGTATGTTCCATTTCTAAATAGCTTGTGAATGCATGGTGAAGCTGTACCATGGATATGTGCTAAAGCTACTGTTTTTAAAAAAGAAAAATATCTTATCAACTTTAAACTGTTGTTTTTTGTTCTCATGGGCTTGATTTAATTATCCAATGAAAAACAAGTTGTGAAGAATCACATGAATCTCAAACTTTTTATCACGAGAAAGAAACAATGAAGCTACCCAAGTACCCAACCACTCGTATTTAAATCTTTCTTGAAAGCCTTCATTTGCCTTGAATACTATTTCAATAGTGTCTCCACTCTCTACTCCCTACCTCTGAAATTTAGAGACCTAAAAATGGGTTGTTCTCCATCTTCACTAAATAAAGAACACTGTAAGTCTCACCATGTCCAAACGTCGTCCTAATGTTACAATTTTTTTTTTTTTTTTTGCTAACAAAAAAAATGACATTAATTAATTTTATTTGTTTTATATATTATATAGCGAGAAGGACAAAAAAGATAAGGAAGCCAAAGCCATGGAAGTTCCCACGTCCGGTGACGTGGAGTCAGCTTGTGCAGATGCGCGATGAGTTTTGGGATACAGCCCCCCACCACGGTGGCAAGAAAGGTAATTTCATTTTACTTTTATTATATCTTTATTACTAAGAAAAACTTATTTTGCATTTCTTCTGATAATATTTAACGTTATCCAAAAAAAAAGAAATATGGGATTCGATACATGCAGCAGCAGAAGCTGATATAGAGCTTGCTCAAGCAATCATAGACAGCGCTGGTGTCATTGTTCATAAATCAGATATGACAGTTTGTTATGATGAAGGAGGTCTCTTTTAGTCTTTCCTTTCCCCTTTCCATTCATAATTCATATCAATCAAATGCATCTCTGGGTTGCACCATATGGTACAACCCACCATTGCGTTTCATATCATGTGTATAAAAATATATAACTTTTTTGTGATATTTACATTTACAGGTACTAAATATGAAATACCGAGGTATGTGTTGAGCGAGCCAACAAACTTAATACAACTAAGTTGATCCAGATAATACAAGAAGCACACAAACAAACGGGGGATATAAATATAATGATATATTACTATTATTATTATTACTACATGTATCTTAATGGTTTTTTTTAAAGCCTGGTTTCACTTTTACTTTTCAACATTTCCAGGCTCATGATTCCATTCTGTAGTTCTATTAGTTTTTAGGCATATTTTTGTGATGGGTTCCAGAAATCTTATGAAAAAAAAAATAACTTACAACTTTCATCTTTTCTAGTTCTGTTATCTTGTGCAAAAACCATAGGCTAAAATGTAAGCATGATATAACCAAACGAGTGTACATCTTAATCAGCATAAAAATAAATTCTACATAACAAAACTACAGTAGTTATCCATAAATGAGGAAACTTGCTTCTCAAGTCTCATTATTTCTTTTTGAAGAAGGACATGATATTCCCCTGTTTTGGATCCTTGGAAATGGCTTTCTTGTTTCCTGCTTTTCCTGTTGCATTTGATTGAACATTTCCAACCTTCTTGGGAGCTGCAAGAGGCCTGATATCACAAAAAATTTAGCTTTTATTTAAGACTAAATTACACAGATAGTCCCTATGGTTTAGGATAATTTACATATTTGGTCCCTAACTTATTTTTTTAACTCGGAAGGTGACTGCTGTTTGTTTTTGTTACACGCTTGGTCCCTATCTTACCTAAAAAGACTATTTTGCACTTGATTTTTTTAATTTGTTTAAATAAACACTCCCTTAACCCCACACTTTTCACCTTACCTTACCTACCCCACAACTTTTCCCTATTTAAATAATAGTCTTTTTAGATAAGACAATGACCAAACGCGTAACAAAAACAAACAGTATGGACCTTCCAAGTTAAAAAAGTAAGTTAGAGACCAAACGTACAAATTACCCCAAACCATAAGGACCATTTGTGTAACTTACTCTTTATTTAAAAAACATCAAAAAGTTTAAATCTTTACTCAATTAATTACCTGTTGGTGGTAATGGTATTATTGTCGTCTTTATTTTTTGTTGTATTATCATCAGGCTTTGTTTCTTTCGCTTCTTCATCCTCCCAAACAACCTCAGTTACTGATAAATAAATCAAAAGGATGAAATTATTTACTTGTATAATACTTCAAACTTTTTCTTACTTTTATTTATTCATGTTTTTTTAATAACTAGAAGCTAAATTTAGTTTATATCAAACCTTCTCTCCCACGCTCATCGATTCTTGTCTTCAAAACTTTTCTCTTTTTAATCGCCTTTTGAGCAGCATCACTCCCTTTAGCTTTCTGTTCTACATCATCTTTTTCAGGACATATTTTCTCATTTGAAATAGGTTTCCCAATTTTCTTGTCATGGTTTTCTTCTTTCAATATATTTTTAGCATCAATCTCAGATACCTTCACTTTCTCTTCCTTTGGTTCATCAAAATCCAAGCTCTTATTTTCAACAGCTGTAGTTTTTTTAGAGCTTTTCTTTGAATCAACAGAAACTTGCTTTTTTGGAGGATCAGGTGAGGCTAAACTCACTACATCTTTTATCTCATCATCTTCATCAGAGTAATCAATGACAACTCTCCTTTTTCTATTATTCCCATCACCATTAGAGCCTCTCTTGAAGTTCATTTGCTTATCTTCATCACCACTACTATCATCTTCTTCCAATTCATTAGCAAGAACTTGAGCATCTGATAGAATTTATAAGCACAATTAGATGTGTAATACAAAACTTTCAGATAAATCACAATGAGACTAGAAGCAATAAAGCAAACTAACCATTTGAAACAGGAATGGGATTATCAGTTTTTACAGGGGCAGATTCGGGTTTTGGTTTTGTAGATGCACGACCCCACATACTAGCTAATGAACCTGAAGTCCCAGAAGAGGTTTTATCATTCTGGGATTTCTTTTTGTTTGGCAATTGAGGAGCTTGATCTTTTTTTGGAACTGGTTTGACCTCTTGTTCAGTTACTTGGGCCCTATGGCTTCCATTTTGAATATCTTTTCCCTTATCAGGTTTAGGGTTTGATTCTTCAACCTTTTTTTCTTGAAATGAAGCTTTGCTGACTATAGGTGTTCCTTCAGCATTGCGTTTCACAAATGAATTTGAGACCCCAGAAAACCTGAAGAAAAAAAAAAGTTAGAGAAATGAATGTGTATTGCAAGCAATTGATGAAAAATCAAAAAGATATGAATAACTCACCTGTTGTCACGTAAGCAATTAACAATATTTGGGGGCTCCTTGAAGAGCTCTTCTGCTTGTATAAATTCAGCATTCCAAAGTACTGATGGATCTTTAGGGATACAAGCTTGAACACTATATACTTGAACTGAACAATTGTCACCGAATTCTTTTTTGGCTTCTGCTTAAAATGAAAAGAGGAATTGAACGTGTATATCCCATATTACAATTGCAAAATCTAAGCCATGGTTGTACAGAATCTGACCTGAAAGTTTAGAGCTCAAAACAAGCTTTGTATGGTAAACTGAAGGATTATTCTTCAACCATCCAGATAAAGAATATAAGACTTCCAGTTGAGATCCCTGCTTTTCCACGAACTCTTGAAGGAGTCTGTGCACAAAGATAGTTGATCAAAACTCCATAAATGGATATGTAAATGATATTAGAGCTAGGAGAAGATCTGAAAACGAAAGAAGAACTCACTTCTTGGCAGTATTTGATGGCACCAAAAAGTTCCGACTCAGCCACTTGTAAGAAACCTAACGAAAATAAATATGATTTATGAGTTGGAAACCTAAATAGAAGTTCTTTTAGGGTTTCTATGCATAAGTAATCAGAAACTTAAATATAAGTTCGATATGCAAGCACATACACGAATCAGTCACACCACATAATTAACTACTTCTTCCAGACAAATTTACTAACGAAACGATCGGATAACAACACAGTAGGCACCAGCGATTATAGATTTTGTGATCAACTTTCAACCTATAATTCAATCAGTGACTATGAACAGAACATAACGAAATACAACATGATCTACGAGGCGCTGCATATAGTGGCGAACAATTTGAAGAAAACGATAAGGCGATAGATAGAGCAAGAGATATATACCACTTGTAGCTTATCGGAGACGAGTGCTTGAATCTCATCTAGAATACCTAGGGTTTCGATATCGGCCATGTCTCCTGAGATGGAAGGGATCTTTCTCTAACCAACAATTTGCAGCGATTACACGATTTCAGCGTTTCTCTTCCCTCCAGATTCTTTGATTTCCCGCCATTTCCTTTGCCGCTTTTCTTATTTTCTAATTTCCCTTTTTCTTCGTTGGTATCATCAAACCATCGACATTCAACACTCAACAGATGGGCCTGTCCGAGTTATTTGTGTTGTGCACGTGACGTCTACAATGCACGTGATTTTGTTTAAAGCAAATCACATCATTTTTTATAAGGAATGTAATATTTTGTCTAAATTTGAAATTTTAGATATAAGATTTCTATATTTTTTTATCGTTAAGATATAGACAAATATTGCATTTGTTATAAACTTTATCATAAGAACGTAGATACTTGTGTATGGAATGAATTTTTGAACGTAGTTTATAAAGGAAAATTGAAAGTATATCGAGCTTTATGTATGACAAGTATTAACAAGAAATGTTTTCAATGATAGTCTTATCCTTTTTGTTGATAACTTGGTAAATATGGAATATTGTATACGTTTTAAAGTATTAATTATAAATAATAGTTATTATAAATGGATTATGATTTATGTTTCCTTAATTAATAATAAATTTTTTCTAGCATTTAAATTTAAGGATTTTCAAAAATAACTATCAATTTCATTGGCCAAATGTGACTTACATTACATAGCTACATTAGTTGACACTTGACACTTCATAGGCTTTCCTTTAACTCTATTTTTCAACAATTCATATCTACTCATTTTAACTTCTAATTTTTCATCATTATATAATTTCTGATTAATAAGTTTTTTCACCAATCTATCTACAATTCACTATTGCATTAAAATCACTATGCATCATGATTCACATATCTCACACACGTGTCCCTTTTAAGCTATACTTCAATTACAAATACATGTTTTTACCAAATACCAATAATGTGTGTCCTATAACATTATGACATTTAAAACAATCACATTCGAGCAATCTTATCAGTGAAGATGTAAACCTCATCGTATCCCTTCCTGCACCCAAACAATAACATTCAAATAACTAAAAGTCCAAAAAACCAATATTTAAATTCATTACAACAATTTTAATTTCATAAGTAATTAATTTGATGCCTAAAAGTTGGAAAAACTTACCCAGCATACCCACAATAAGTGGGGCTGAAATTGTAAATTAGATTATCCAGCACTTCCTTTGTAGGCGGCCTGTTGTACGATTTTCTAGCCTCACTACATTTCCCAAAAAAAAAAAAAAAAAAACTTTCATTACATAAAAGTATATAATTAAAATCAAACTTTATTAAATTAACAAAAAGCGTACCTCACAAAGAAGTTGGCAACATGTTGAGTCACTTGAACTGCATCATCTGAATGTGGAATCATCGATAATCCCCACTCAAAAGCATTTTTCTGCATCATATATACAACATTTGCTTGCATATTAAACAGCTCGTTTTAAAAAGCTACTATAGCAAGATGATATAGACATTTAGTAAGAGTAATACCTCTGGGTGCCATTGGACAGCTGTCACAGGGTAACTTTTTGATTGAACTGTTGATACATATACCTGATCAAATCATTTTTAAAGATTTTAGATTCGAGCTAATTAGAACATTCGCCTAAAAATGATTCCATAATTGATAGAAGAGGTGAAAGTTGAATGCAACAACATGATCAAGCTATGCACAATGGACCTCGTTATTTTCATCAACACTGGTTGTTAAGATCTTGAAGAAACTGCAGAGTTCCATGTTTCCTTGAAAAGTTTCTGGTGATATGCCAAACTGTTACATAGACAAATCAAAATTTAGGATTGAAAAGAATTCTTTGGATTAAGATCATTTTAGCAATGGTTGAACTCACTTTATGGTTTTGCATCACCAGGCATTCTGTGCTCATCTTTGCAAGTAACTCAGGAGGAAATCTGTAGAAAAACAAAAGGATTAACTTAACATATTTCAGTTATGGAAATCATACAAGTTATTCGTTGTTTAACAGCGGTTTTTTCAATGTGATATACCTTTGAAACAAAGTTCCTTCAATGTTTATGTTCTTAATGAACTGGAGTGTTGAAGCTTGATCTGATGCACTAAAGCTTTCAAGGATTTCATTGTTCTAGTGACATAAAAGAACTACAAACAGTGAAAATCAATGCATAAACAAACAATAATAGTGTAATACATGGATGAACATGGCATACTTTGCTAACAATCATTGTTAGGAGTTCAAAACCTAAGCATATTGCAAGCAATGGGAAATGGTCGCCTGCATCATTCTTCTTCAGAACTTGCTGCAAAAGTAGAGGATGAAAGAAACCAATAACATTAAGTGCACATGATCATGAATCAAGATGTTATTCAGGTAAATATTTCAATAAGAAGTTGCAATTACCTTAAAAATTCTGTCTACAACATCAAGGTACAGGCCAGTCTTAGCCCATCCACCGGTGAAGATCACTCCATTGATCAGATTGAGTTTCTGCAGTGCAATTGAACGGGTTCTCTAAATTTATAACGGACACAATCAAACTTTGACAATTAAAAGCGATTTTATAGGATAGGCACATACGGCCAGTCCTTGGATTTCGGATGCTAGATAACACTAACGAATACACGTAACTCATTAGATCAGATAATTTTATAGGTTAAATTTCAATGTTCTATTCGATGCCGAGTAATCAATTCAGTTGAAATTTCTGGAAATGGAATTATAGATTGAAGATGTGAGAAATTACACTCTGTAGAACCTCCGAAGGTTCATTATAGATGAGAGGAATGACCCTAGCTCCGGCAGATTCAACAAATTTGACATACGAGGCAGCAATATACGAGGCGTTAGTAGCGTTATTAAGTCGACCGGAGGCACCATCGCCTGGATGGCTGAGAATTCCGATTATCGGGCGGTAATTCAGCTTAGGATCCGGCGCAGGACACGATGAAGTCAAACCAGCAACAGAAGCAGAGGGCAAGAAGATTTTTGACTCGGAAGCAGCGTTAGCGGAGCTGACCTCTTTCATGAGAGACAGCAGAAAAGGGATCCATACGTAATTCCACATGTCGGAGGTAGTAGCAGGTGAAATGGACGGAGAACTGGAGGAGGATGAGGAGTGTTCAGTAACGACAGTAACAGAACACGGTGGTGGTAGTGGTGGTGGTTGTGGCGGTTTCATCAGCAGATGAAGTGAGAGGAAGCAGCGGAGGAGGTAATCGACGGCGCTTGAGGTTTCAACATCGGAGAAACGAGAAATGTGATCGACGCCGCCGTTGGCTATATTACCGGATCGATAATCCGGAATTTAATCGGAAATAAGAATTTTGTCTATATTTACACGTTCTATTCACATTAGTTATTTTATTGAAATATAATATTTGTATTTTATAAAAGCAAAAAACAGGATATTTTAATTATTAAAAAAAATATGTATCTTCTATATCCTAGCCGTTCGTTCATGACACGGGCACGTGTAAAGCCGTGAGCCACGAACATCACGGTGAACAAGAAAATGTTATCGCTAACTTTTTAAACTTTATACAAAGGGGAATTAGCTATACCAATGTATTTGTTTTTTTTTTTTATCTTTCAAATGGTAGAACATAGTATATTATTAATCAAAACATATTACATTAATTTGACCTGAAATGTTATACAGCTCATAAAAATAAAAATTTCAAACCAATTTTTGTAAAAAAAAAAATGAAAAAATTCACCTTTAATCCAACAATGAAACGACCTGGCATGCTTCCAATGTATGTCCTTCTATGGTCTCCAATGTCAGTTTCATCTTTTACACCACCAAGAGATATTCTTATGAACTTCCTCCCAAGAGAAGCAGCAATTGATGATGCCAATGAGGTTTTCCCAACACCTGGCGGGCCCACAAATAGGTGTGCAAACGAACCAAGTTACTCGCGAGCTACTCGGGATCGGACCGCTAAAAGCTCGACTTGAAATCGATTTTAAACGAGCTCGAGCTTACTATTAAGCTCGTTTATTAAACGAGCTCGAGCTCGAGCCTATGTCATTAAACTCGATTAGGCTCGCGAGCCTAAACGAGCCTTTACATATTATAATTTATTATTATTTATATATATTAAAATAAAAATATATTAGAGGAATTACGGATTTAGGGTATTAGAAAACAAGCTTCTTAACGAGCTCGAACCGAGCTTAAGCTTATTTAGGCACGTTAGATAAAAAACGAGTCGAGCCCGAGCCCGAGCCGAGCTTTGATAATTCTTTACGAGCTCGAGCCGAGCTCAATACAGGAAAGCTCGAATCGAGCCGAGCTCGAGCTCGAGCCTCATATAACTTAAACGAGCCTGAGCCGAGTCTGACCAGGCTCGGGCTCAGTTCGGCTCGTCTGCACCCCTACCCACAAAACATGATATCGGGATTTTTACATCCGGTTTCAGCTGCAATTCAAGAAATTCATCACAACATGGAAATGGAGTGGAATGAACAACTACATTCCTTCCATGATTCCATCATTCCAAATTAAATGTTTTCCCAACCTTGCGAACTGCTATATACTCAATAAGAATTTGTTTGACTTTGACTAAGCCATAGTAGTCACCATCAAGCCTTTCTGTTGCAGCTTCTATGTCCAAATCAACTTCTTCTCTGGTTGTCTGTCATGGAAAATCAGCAAAAACTTCAAGGTAAAAACGTGAGCTATTATACACTGGTTGTTGAGGTTGCATTTTTTTTAATCTCCTGGTATAACATTTTATATAAATGTCAAAATTAAAAATTAAAAAAAAAAAAAAAATTAAAAATCTTATATATTTGTCATGATTTTAATGAAACAACAACAATAATCAATATTCCATAATGAATAAGGTAAGACACAATCATAATTGGAAGAGGAATTTACACTTCAAGAACCATAAATAAGGACCGAAATTGTAAATGAAAACATTTTAGGACCAAAATTGCAAAAATCATCTATATGGAACACTGTGATAATTTACAACCAATTTAAACTTTTCAAAAACAACACATGTTCATTAAGTTATTACAAAAAGGTTTTCGATTCTTTTATTATCAGGCTATCCCAGAACATCAACATAAAAATGAGGAGCGGTACAATCACGCCTTCGCCTTGCCACGGTCTCCTGAAGTACCTGAAACAATACACTAAAAATTGTAAGCCCGAAAGCTTAGTGAGTTACCCAAAATACTGACCACAATACCATACACATATCATATCATATCATAACATAAACAGAACAGCCATGCATATCGAGTCTACAGTGTGACTAATCCGCCTGCACCAAGCCTTCAGTCCACCTGGCCCACTCTCTCTCCGAGTCTACAGTATGACTGGTCCGCCCGCACCGGACCTTCAATCCACTTGGTCCACTCTCTGAGTCTACAGTATGACTGGTCCGCCCGCACCGGGGCTTTAATCTGTCTGGTCCACTCTCCGAGCATCGGCACGTCTGGTCCGCCCTCTTGGGGCCTTCAGCCTATCTGGACCGCTTGCCGAGCCTTCAATCTAACCGGTCCGCCCTGGTATGTTGACCTGCAGCACAAAGTAGGACCCGCGTCAACCCAACCCCAGTCCAACAACCATGTGCACATAAACATATAATCATATAGCAATTCACAACTAATCAAACGATATAGCAGATCACGTAACATAGCAACATCCTAACCAGGATACCGACCTAACCGGTCACTAACATAGCATCATTCTACATACCAGGATACCGACCTTAACCAGGTCTCTAACATATACCATCCTAACTACCATGATGCAGACATAGCAAAGCAATAACATAACAAACAACTACCTGGATTCTCATCCGATAAAGGGTCGGCCTTTGTGCCTTAGACCTGTCGATATAGTGAGGATAACTCACCTGCAACTGCCGACTTGAAGAAATAAGACCACGTTGTTCCGACCACCAGCACGAACTCCACCACTGATCATTACCAAATAACCAAAACCAATAAACACCAATAATTACCAAAATACCCTTGGAAGTCAAATTGGTCAACCCTTGGTCCAAGTCAAAGTCCGCAGTCAAAGTCAACCTTCCTGGTTGACCATACTCGCCAAGTCAATCCGTTGACTCGTCGAGTCCCTATGTTCATAAATTCCCATGCCACAACTCAACTCGTCGAGTCGCCCCAAGACTCGTCGAGTCCAACAAGCTCTGAGTCCCTTCCTTCTCAACTCACCGAGTCGTCCCTCGACTCACCGATTCACAACTCAACCAAAAAAGTTAGGACTTCACGACCAGACTCGTCGAGTCCAAAAACAGACTCGTCGAGCCCAAGGCAATCTTCAACAGACTCTCCAAGTTGTTCTTCCAATTCACCGAGTCCATGCACATATTCATACAACTCGTCGAGTGCACCCATGTGACTCGCTGAGTCCAGACGTGACATCTTCATCCAGACGATTTCAGGCCATTCCATTGCTTCCAATACATAGATCTGGACTCCTAGGTCCAGATTCACACATAAATTTTCCAACTTTACGTGCATGCAAGGCTCAACAAGCTCCAACAATCTAAAAATGAAGGTTCAAGGCAAGGGCACTCTCACTTACGCCCCAAAGCTATCATTGTTTGATCACATGGCTCCACACCAACCTAGATCTGAAGTTGCAACCTCAGATATAGTCGCTATACCCGAAATAGATCCCAACCATGCTAAAGAAGCCCAAATCACACACACCATGGGTGAAATGTGACAACCCGGAATTTCCATTATGTATAAACAATAACACTTCAATAGAAGTTATATCAGTCACAATAAACTTTCAGACTTTTCCGTATAAGTTTGAGTAATTTAGGGTTTACACTTCAGGAAATATCAGGAGAGTGGATGCACTAGGGTTTTGTGCAACACTGTTATTCCAACACTCTATTATATTAGAGATCATTTCGGGAATAAAATATTTTCTGCCAAAAATCTCAGGACTATAAATAGAATTCTGAACCAAATTCATTCATTATTCGCATATCCAACTAGAGAAAAGCCATTCTCTCTCTCACGGATCTTCGGGTTTTTATCCCAAAACGTGAGTATCTCTTGCTAGTAGTGTTAGATAACTTATTATGTGTTAATAACATAGATTACATAGCTAAATAACTAGATTTGGGAGTTTACACCCCAAGGTGTTCGTGGGCGGTAAACTCCCAAAACAATGCCTAGCCTTTCCCCTGTGGTATGCTACTGCCTTAGACTCATATATATGTGTGTTTGGGATAAGAAAACAACCAAGAAACACAAAATCATGGGTGTTCACGGCCCAAGATGATCTTGGACCGTGAACTCCAAAAACTTAGATCAAAGGGTGCTTTTAAGGCACCTAAAGCCTTAGGCATTTACTAGGAATTGTTTCCACTTAAATCAAGGACCAAAACACATCAAAAACACATAATTTTGGATGATTACGACCCTAATAAATCTCTTGGGCCATAAACATGAAAGAAGGGCACCAAAGTGTGCCTAAGGCTTTCATATGCTTGGGATAAAAGTCTAAGACCTATACTACATGTGCAAGAGACTTGAAAGCATCAAAAACACCATTCCAAGGGAGTTTACGACAGTAAACTCCAAAGAAAATGGCCTTAGGGTCGTAAACTCCTCAAAGGAGTGTTTCTATGCCTTAAACCCTTCCAAGAATTAACCCACAAAGTTGGAATACTTTTAGGGATCATTTAACACCTCAAAACAACCAAGGACATTAAGTCTTGGAGTTTACGGTCGTAAACTCAAGAGTTAACAACCGTAAACTCCATGTGTGAGGCTATATGGAGAGTAAACTCCATGTGTGAGGTTATTTGGAGAGTAAACTCAAGTATATGGTCCTTTGGAACCCTAAACCCAAGTACCTTGTCCCACAATAGCTTATATGCAATCCTTAGGGCTTATAACACTTATATACATTGTTTATTATGTTCTAGGATGTCTTAACATTATCAATTAGTAATTTAAGACTAATTGAGTGCATATATGTGTGATTATATGTTCATTAGGATCGTAGTGTGTGTACAAGTCCTTACTTGACACCTAACAATCCTACACCGTCCAGTTCATCCAAACCACCCTCTACAGGTGAGTTCATACCCTTAAATGAATATTTTAAATATTTTTAAATGCTTTAATGGGGGGAATACAAGTAGAAAACAACATGTTATTAAATCACTCATATGTATGTAACCGTAGTGGCAGGGGCCGTACAATCCCTACTCATATGCCCGGTCCGACCGCACTTGTAGCAGCCGGAACTCCCTGCCTTGCACGCCCCCTCGTGCAACCTCCCACACTTGCCACACCGACCGTGGCTCTGCTGACCTCTGGATGTGATCTGAAACCTTGGGCTTTTTGCCCACAATGCCTGTACCCGT